GTGTAGACCAAGCCTTAGGTTAAAAGACTTTCTAAGAGTTGTTTAATTTTAAAAAAGACTGTTTTGAGAATTAAAGACTCATGTAAACAGGAATGTTTTGACTTTTCAAAAAGAGAATTTCAGTTTCTGTCAAATGTTCATAGATGTTTAAAAAAAATCACAGAAAATGGACTGAATAAAAAGAAAACTTTTAAAGTTAGTTTTAACTCTCTGGATCTTTCCTGCCACAAGAAAAACAAAGGCAAATAAAGAAATGTTGCCTATTCATTGAACAGGCTGCATATTCAGGAACTGAAAGTGTCACCTAAGCCAACCCCAAAGGCATGGAGCCAATGAAAGAGTGACATCAACCAATTTTAATCTAAACAAGCATGAAGGAGGTGTAATTCTCTATAATTTAATGAAAATAAGGTGAGCACCCCACACTCGCACACCCCCTGCTACTCTGCTTTAGGGTGACTAGATGTCCCCATTGTATAGGGTCAGTCCCAATTTTGGGGTCTTTTTCTTATATAGGCTCTTATTACCCCCCACCTCCGTCCTGATTTTTCACACTTGCTGTCTGGTCACCCTACTCTGCTTAAACAGCAATCACTTCACAACTCATCCTGGCCATTTCTACAAGCAAGCCTCTACAGACAGATAAAAGGTAAGAAAAACAGAAATCTCATGAAAAAAACAACCCAAAGAAACCTCCCCAAGACTGCAACATGGATTTGTGAGAGGTAGTTAACTAAAACACTGCCAAGGGACTAGATTTAAAACTCTTGTAATTATTTTGTGGAAAAAATATAAAAACAGTTGTAATTTAAAAGACTAACAGTTTTTTGTGTTAATCATTAAGTGGTTAGACCATATATTCCTGCAGAGGAGACAGAGGTAAACAGAGAAAAAGTGGAATTTTATTGGAATTAAGATTCTCCTTATATTGGTTAAATAGCCTATCTCAAGACAGCTCCTTAAATGACTTATTTTAAGTAACAGATTTCATAGGGTAATTACGATTGCTTACTTTGCCAACAACAAACTGGCTGGTTACTTATTAATAACCAACAGGTCCATCTGCTCTGAAACAAAGTTATTTTGCCCATCTATAAACATTCTTAGTTATCTAAGGATATACTAAAGAATGGGTTCCCAATAATTTTGGGAAACAATATAGTTGGGTCTGAATTTACCAGCCCTGGGAAAGAACACACTCTGAGGTGTAATCTCTGTTAAAAGCTCTCCACAGCAAGACATATAGAAGAGAGTGTAATGGATGTAACCAGTTTAT